TTTGGCAACTTCATACATGTAACTAATGCATGTTGATTTATATGCATCAACAACTCCCCCTCGAAACTCCCTGCTCCTCCCTTCCCTCCTTATGTCCCCTCTGTCCAGGTAGTGCTTCTGTTGAATGCTGGCTGGCCTTGTTGACTTGAGCTTGTGCAGGTAATTATAGGTGTATCGGGTGTATGGGTGCAGAGGCCGTCTCATGACCCAGAGACAGAATTTCACATGCTCTTCTCCATCCTCCAGTTTCTACATTTTCCCACCCCTTTCCTGAGCCTGAAGGATGAAGTGGGGTGGCTAGAGATGCCCCATTTGGGAGCGAGCACTCAATAGACACTTATTCTCAGCACTTGATTAATGCAGTCTCTGCATTAATTGCTAAGCATTGCAGAGAGAAGCTTTTTTGGCCAAGGTTGAGGAAAGCATTAATCTATTGGGCTAAGCAAAAATAGTTAGAAGGCAGTTTGACAATGTGTTGTTTAAGGCCGGGTGTTGATGGCACACGCCTTTAATCCCAGCACTCGGGAGGCAGAGGCAGGTGGATCTCTGTGAGTTCAAGGCCAGCCTGGTCTCCAGAGCGAGTGCCAGGATAGGCTCCAAAGCTACAAAGAGAAACCCTGTCTCGAAAAACCAAAAAAAGACAATATGTTGTTCAGCAAAATGACAGGAGTAGGTTCCTCCTGGGGCCTGTGACCTGCCCAGCCATGGGCTTTTGACCAGGCTTATAGGTCCAGACATGAATTCCTTCCTGTGAAGCCAGTTTCAAATTCAATCTAAAAGCAGTTGCTTACCCCCATGATGTTCATGCCACTATTACATTGCTGGACACATCTTGCCTTGCAGGTTAGTACTGTAGTATAGAGGGTTGGCTGCAGGGGTACCATTGGTGTCTTTTCTCTCCCAGTGGTCTACATAGTACCTTCTGGCACAGTGAAAACTAGTCATCAGAGTTTTCTGTCCTGTACCCAAAGTGTATTATCTTCAGCAATAGAGTCTTACGATCTACCCAAGAGCAATAGCAGTGGTCTGTGTGGTTTTGGGAGCCTGTAGGGCTTCCTTGACTCTTAGGGAGCTATCCCACACCTGACACTGAGATTGTCATTTAATAGCCCATATTCTGGGGGAGTCATGGTCTACCCATATGTGGTCCTTTCCTTTTATGAGATGTGGTAAATAAGATGTGAGCACTAGGACTAAATAAAAGTAGGCTCTTTCTGAAGGGGCAGCTTTCAGAGATGTTTGTTTTGTAGGTGGCTACATGGGCAGATGATGTGAGTTGCGGTCCCAGGAAACTGTTTTGATAAATGTTTTGGTAATGTCATTTAATATCATTTACATACTGAGGCTGTAGCTCAGTATGTAAAGCACTGGCCCAGCACACCAAAGGACCTGGCTTCAATTCCCCAGTACTTCCTAAACTGGGATGGTGACACACCATTCTTTCATCTGAGGAGAAGGTTCAGGAGTTCAAGGTCAATCTAGCCTCGGCCTACTTCTGACCCATCAGGGCTTCATGAGACCGTGTCTCAAAACAACCACAACCAAACAGATCTTTACAATAAACACCCTTTATTCTGCCCCCCCCCCCAAAGTCATTTCCTTTGTTACTCATTGAGGATTGCTAGAGAACTTACTTCAAACAGGCTGGTTTTCCAGAAAGCTTCAAGCTCACTCTTCTACACACTGACTTTACTTAAAAATCAAATTGAATGGCACTTCTTGTGTAATGGATCTCTCACTTCTGTTAATTCATCTATGCAGAATTTTTGGCAGCTGTTCTCCAATATTAAGTTGGCTGGTACTGGGCAACTCTCTAGGGTAGGCCAATCCATTTAATTGCTTAGCAGGCCCATTTGCTGTTAATCCTAGAGATTTTGGCAAGAAAGAAAAAACCTTTACTTGAAATTCTTAGCTGGGCATTATGGTACACTTTAGTAGTCCCACCACTGACAGACTGAGGCAGGAGGATTAATGTGAGTTCAAGGCCAGCTTGGGCTACATGATGTGTTTCAGGACAGCTGGAGATAGTTAGCAAGACCCCATGTCATATAAAACAAAAAGAAAAGAAGTAAAATTCTTCGTTTATGGGCTGGAGAGATGGCTCAGAGGTTAAGAGCACTGAGTGCTCTTCCAGAGGTCCTGAGTTCAATTCCCAGCAACCACATGGTGGCTCACAACCATTGGTTATGAGATCTGGTGCCCTCTTCTGGTGTGCAGATATACATGGAAGCAGAATGTTGTATACATAATAAATAAATAAAATCTTAAAAAAACAGTTCATTTACTTATTTAGTGTGTATTTATGTATCTGTGCATGTGTGTGAGCAGCTGCTTGTGTCTTTGTGCACACAGAGGTCAGGAGTGTTGGGTGTCCTCCTGCGTTACTCTCTACCCATTCCTTTCAGGCAGAATCTCTTCCTGAGCCCAGGGCTCAAGTTTTCTTGGATCCGTTGGAACTCAGCAAGCCCTAATAATCCCCCTGTCTCCGTCCCTTTTGGAGCTGGGGTTACAGAAACACTCAGAACCCCTAGCATGGGTGCTAGGATTTGAACTCAGGTACTTTGGGTTGTGCAGGCATCCTTCTAGCCCCAAGAGATACAGATAAAAGTCTCTTCACTGCACGTTTAACAGCCATGAGCTCTCTCCTTTCCATACACCACGTGCATTTGACCTGGCACCGTATGTGTCCTCGAAAGGTAATTTACTCTGCCAGGTAACAGGAATGCGCTCTGGGGCATCTAAGTGAATTATTTGTCTTATTTCTTCTAACTTTCACTCCCACGTTGTCACATGTGACTTTTTTTCTGTGTTATCAAGCTTATCTCAGGAAACCTGTGTTCTTTTAAAATTATAATTTCTAACTATTAACCCCTGCCCTCCCCGCCCCAAATGACTTAATACCTTAGAACAGCTCACAGGCAACGTAGGGCTAGGCCTGCATGAAGACTGGAGTGGTTTTGATTTTTAATAATTGAAGACTGATCTTTAACATCTGATTTTATTTGAGTTTTTATTTGAATGTTCTTGGACTGCTATCTGAATAAAATACTAGCTGTCGAGTAAAAAAAAAAAAAAGTCTTGATGCACAGATTTGGGGATGTTTGTTTTGAAAAGTTATAGGAATGTATGGTAATTAAAACATCTGGACAAGTTAGCTAGTATGCTAATGATGTGAACCAGCTTTCATGAAAGACTACATCGAAGTCCAAAGCCAAAGCCCCCTTTTAGTTTTCTCTTTCCTCTCCTCTCTCTCTCTCTCTCTCTCTCTCTCTCTCTCTCTGTCTCTCCCTCTCCCTCCATCCCTCCCTGCCACCACCACCTGGTTAGTTATTTCTTTAATTTGATTCAATTTCCCCAGTCTGTGTCCCCATTGAGAACTTGAGGCTGGGTCATGCATGGTGTAGTAGATATGCCCAGAGCACCCTGGAGACATCCCTGCTCTAGAAGAATTTGGAATACATTTGGAAAGAGGAATTCTAAGTTTCTTGGGAGGGGTGGGGTGCATCAAGACAAGGTCTTTCCACATAGACCGGGCTAGCCTTGAATTTTTGTTGATCGTGCAGCTTCTGTCTCCCTATGGCTAGGATTAGAGGAGAATGACATTGTGTCCAGCAGCTCCTGGTTTTCAAGGAGGCTGTTGGGCAAAGGATATGAGCAGGAAGAGCCCAGCTTGGCTGAGCATGGCTAGCAGCTAGCTAGGGAGCACCCTAGCGACCATAGTATTCCAGGGCTTCGGGGTATATTAGTTCATGCAATCCTATTAACTTCTTTTCCTCCATGTGATGTGGGATGGCCTGGAACTCATTTTGAGTCAGTAGGTCTTAACCTCCTGAATGCTGGGATTAAAGGTGTGAGCCGCTATACCCACCTTAAAGAATTGTCTTGTTTGTTTTGCTTTAATTTTTAGAGACAGGGTCTCATGTACTCATATCAACTCTTCATCCTTCTGCTTCCCTCTCCTGAGTTGTACCCCAGTTCCAAGTACTGGGGATTTAACCCAGTATGCTAGGCAAGCAGTTTACTCCTGATCTACATTCTGTTTCTACTAATTTTCTGCATTAACTTTCTCATTTGAACATGGGGAAACTGAGGCAAAGGGAGTGTCAGTAATTCCCCTAATTACTAATAGTTATACTGTTCGTTATAGTATAGTTATAACTATATAGTTAGTTATAGTATAATTATAACTATAGTTATACTGTAGCTAGCCGGGAACCAACCGTGCTTCCTTCCATCCAGGCCATGTGGCCTAGCCTTCTATGCTGCTATCCTTGGGTACTTTCTTGCATCTTGTGAGATGGATAGTAAAAGCAAGCAAGCAAACAACCCAACACCCCAAACAGACCTTTGGCAACCTCCCTCTGAGCCATTTGTATCTCCAGGCATGCCTGACCGTACATAAACCTCAAGATAAATATCTTCTTGAAACAGCTTTTAACTTATTTTTTTTTTTTAGACTTCAGTTGCACAAAGCAGATTAATCTTACTTCTTGGCTCATGATACGAGCTCAGTGTTGGCACATGAATGGCTCTATTAATTTTGTTAATGTAATACATTCCCATAAATCCACTAGTACCCCTAAGCCAGAATCTATGTGCACCTGGTAGTCATTTCCTTCATCATCCCCTTATCTGTTTGACTGCAGATAACTGTAGTCACCACCTGAATCTTCCTTTCACCATTTGCTTGCTTTCATATATATATAAAACATATATACTATATATGTATTTTAAATATAGTTTTTATCTGTATGACTATCTCTTTGTGAAAAAGGCCCCACTGTGTAACTTTGGCTGGCCTGTAACTCATTATGTAAGTCAGGCTGACATCAAATTCATAGAGATCTGCCTGTGTCTGCCTCCTGAGTGCTTGGATTAATTAGGCATGATCCACCATGTTCAGCTCTTTCTTTTAGATTGGGTCTCACTTATCGCAGGATGGGCCTTGTATTCCATATGTAACCAAGGATGACCTTGAACTCTTTCCTCATTCTCTTTAGTGTGGATTTTCAACTGTGTACCACAATGGGAAATTGTTCTGTAGACCAAGCTGGCCTCGAATTCACAGATCTTCCTATCTGCCTCCTGAATGCTGGAATTAGAGGTGAGCACCACTGCACCCAGCCTAAAAGGTATTCTTAAAAGATTATTTTATCTTATGTGTATGGATGTTTTGCCTGCATTAATATCTGTGCACCAAGCAGGCCAGCAGAGAGCATGAGATCCTCTGGAATTAGAGCTACAAAAAGTTGAAAGTCACCTTGTGGGTACTGGGAACTGAACCTAAGTGTTCTAGAAAAGCAGTCAGTGCTCTCAACTGTTGGATCATTTCTCTAGCCCTTATTTCTTATTTTTAATTATATGTATGTGCTTGTGTGTGCGCATGCTTGTGTGTACCTGTGTGTGTGTGTGTGTGTATGTGTGTATATGTACATGAGTTCAGGTGCCCTCTCAGGTCAGAAGAGGGGGTCAGAGTCCCTGTGAGCTGGAACTGAACTCGGGTCTTCCGTAAGAGTGACAAGCTCTTTCAGCTGCTGAGCAGTCTCTGCAGCCCTTACTGAACCAACCGTTTTACCTTGTGAAAAAGATACAGTGCTGGGCAAGGTATCTCCATATAGAATGGGCTCCACTAAGTCAGTTTGTGCATTAGTGTTAGATCTTGGACCCACTGCCAGTGACCTCATATATTGTTCCAGCTGAATCATTGTTACCTATATTAAGGGTGTGGGGGTGGAGAGGTGCCTTGGTCCTGCCTCAACAAGATGATGGGACAGACTTAGTAGACTTCCCGAGGGAGGCCTTACATTCTCCAAGGAGCGAATGGGAGGTGGGGGAGGGCGAGTGGGGAGGGAGGGAGGGAAGGGGGAGAGGGAAACTGGAATTGGAATGTAAAAAATAAATTAATAAAAAATTAATGGGATCTAGGAAAAAAAAGACACTGTGCTGTGTAATATGCTGAGATCACCCCCATGTTACATTGTTAAGATATTAGCATATTGTTCTATGATGCCAAACAATACTCACAATTACTCTAAATAATTCTCTTTCCTTTGAATATACCACACTTTACTTGATCTTTCATTAGTTCACTCTTGCTTTCACTCTGTCAGTAGGGTTTTGGGTATTTTCCAGAGTTTGTGTTCTTACAAACAGGACTTCTAGGAATACTCTTCCACATGTTCCTACAGGATGATATAGCATAGTGGTAGAGCCCTAGCTTAGTGTGCACAAGGTCCTGGGTTTGATCCCCAGTGCTGCAGAATAAACCAGGTGTCCTGTTGATCACATGTAAAGAGCTTCCTTTACATGTTTAAATATGCATTCGCCTAGGAAATGAGTTATGTGTGGTTTGAACTTTGTAAGACAGTACCAAACTGCTTTCCAAAGCTGTACTGATTTACAAATAAAAAGAATTAGTCTGAGCCGGGTGTTGGTGGCACACACCTTTAATCCCAGCACTTGGGAGGCAGAGGCAGGCGGATCTCTGTGAGTTGGAGGCCAGCCTGGTCTCCAGAGCGAGTGCCAGGATAGGCTCCAAAGCTACACAGAGAAACCCTGTCTCGGAAAAAAAAAAAAAAATTAGTCTGAGGAAGTGGTTCAGGTAGCCAGCCACACGTGAGAACCCTTGTGGAGCTGGGTCCTTTTTCACACTTGCTGCTGTCACACTTGGCATTTTCAACAGCCAAACAAATGGAAGTCTCTTAATTCACATAATTTGATCACTAGTGTGTGTGTGTGTGTGTGTGTGTGTGTGTGTGTGTGTGTGTGTGTATGTGTATGTGTGTTGTATGTTCATGCAAGAGTGCATCTGAGACTAGAGAACTGTGGGTACCATTCCTCTTGTAGGCTTAGAACTCAGGCAGTAGGCCAGGCCAGCTGGGCATGAAGCCCCAGGGATCTACCTCTTTTCCACCTTCCCCAGCACAAGGATCAGAAGTATGAAACACCACATTTTTTGGGGGTATGGATTTGAACTTGAAAGACCCCCGAAGAGGTACTTTGGTAGAGGGAGACCCGCACCCAGGAATCAGCGAGACCACGAACTTGGATGCAAAACCGCAAGAGGCTTTATTGGAGATACGGGTACCCGGGCGACTTAGCTTCTGTGTGGCTAAGGGCCCCGAGCCAAGGGAGAGGGGTCCTTATATAGGGAAAAGGGCGCAAGCTAAAAGCAGGGATTCTATTGGATAATTCTAATGAGGCATCGTACAGAGCTATTCCCATTGGTCAATGTAAATGAGGCGCTATGCAGGGTTATTCAAATGAGGCGAAGTATAGAGTTATTCAAATGAGGTGAAACACAGAGTCTTTCAAATGAGGCGAAATACAGAATCATTTCTATTGGATGGTTCAAATGAGACACAGAGCCATTCCAGATCAGCATATTCTCAAGGTCTGGTGTCTGGTACAACAGACTCAATTCACCCCCTCCGCGTCCTGATGGACGACCTTGGGGGCGGAGACCTTGGGACGGAGTGTTTCTCATGGGGGGGGGGCTAGGCCGGCTCACTTGGTGTTTGTTCTCGTGCCGGCCCACCTGGTGCTCGTTGCTTGGCCCCAGCCCCGAGGCGAGGTGCCAGGCGGGGCGGGCCGGGGTCGTGAGCCCTGCCGGGGTGAAGGCTTGGGAGGCCCCGGCAGCTTCGGGGCAGGGGGCTCAGGGGCATTCCGAGCGGGTCTTTCAAACTCATGTTTGCAAGGTAAACATTTAACCATGCTGCCTGAACCATTTCCTTAGACTAATTCTTTTTATTTGAGAATAAAATAAAAAAAGTCTTACTTTTTAGCCCAGGCTAGTCTGGGATTTGATATGAGGATCAAGCTAGCCTCAAGCTTACAGCAGTTCTCCTGCCCCATTCTCCCAAAGAGTGGGGTTCCAGCATCGAGGCAGTGTGCATGGCTCATGAAGTAGACTCTGGGTATGTTTATTTGCTGTCTGTATTTCAACTTCTGTAGAGTGTGGTGGCTTGCTTTCTTTCTTCCTTCCTTTCTTCCTTCCTTTCTTTCTTTCTTTCTTTTTTTTTTGCACAGTACTATTCTTATTCAGATTCTAATCTCATCCTGTTATTCTTACACTAAACATAGGACTATGGCATATGCACTTAGAATTGTATTTTATTTACGCATGCTGTGTGGTGTGTGTCTGTGCACATGCAGAGAGCCAAAGAAGGTATAGGCACTTGCAAGATGACTGGCTTGTTATGTTGTATGGACTGGAGAGTCCCAACTCTGGTTGTCACGCTTTACAGTAAGTGTTCTTAATGACTGAGCCATTTTTTTTAAACCCTGATGTAATGCACTCTATGTGTTGTAGAGGTTTGTGTGATGGAAAAGTTGTGTGTGCACCAGCTTTCCAATGATGCTCGTTCCTCTTGTCAGGTAGTAGAAGGTCTCTTAAAAAGTTTGAGAGCATTGAGGGCCAGTGGGCTGACTGAAATCAATGCCAGCTGAGCTTGACTTAAGGAAGGAGGGGTGTGACAGTTTTTCTTGTTTGAAGCTGGTGGGTGTTGAAAGTTGGAAAGGACCCAGTGACTCAGGAAATCTCCCCAAACACCCTCCTCTGCATTCTTTCACTGGGCCTGTCCCCAGGAGCTCTGAGATTTGCTTCTCACTTCTTCTGTCCTCAGAGGACTGGGTGGCAATTGATGAGTTCAGTAGATGGGTTCTTAGGGAAATCCAGCTCACCACTGGCATGGGAAAAAGGATGTATTGCTTTCCAGAGTCAAGGAGAGTCGAACTGCCAAACCACAGCATGGAGGCAGCTGGAGCCAGGAACCCAAACCACAATAGGGCTCCGGCTCTGGCCCCGCCTTCACTGTGGGCTTCTTCCTTCTCACTGCAGGCCAGATGATTGTCTTCATTTGAAGACCGCATTCTACAGTGTAAACCACACCAACAACCAGAGGGAAAATGACTTTTGTTTTGCTAATCCACAAACAGGTAAATTTAGATGTTGAAAAAAAGTAGTCTTCCAGACTTTTTATGAAGTCTCGCCCTGCAGGCGGCATTAAGAATACATGTTTTATGGGCTGTGGCTTCCTGGCTGCCTGTTGAGAACAGGGTTAGTTTACCCTCAGTTCTTCTGCCAGATGCTGGGCAGAGCCTGACTCATGGATTGTCTCAGGGGCGGAAACTCTTGCAGGTCAGGCTTGAAGCTGCCATGTCGATGTCACCCCAGTTTAATCCTGCCCTTCTTCATCCTACCCTTAGTCCCTTTAAGGATAGATTTTATGCCTTCTCCCTTATTTTCACCAAAACGCTATGCATTAAAGTATTTGTCAGACATGCCCTCAGTGTGCTGTGCATCAGTGCCCATTGTTAGAGACGTGGGATAATTCATATCAGCTGGCCTCTGTGTGGCATCATAATCCTCAATATCACATTTTGTTATCATTATCAAGGGATAGTGTGCAAAGCAGGAAAAACACAGACATAATAATTCCTTCATAGGCAAGTTGTTTCTCTGAACGGCTGAAGCCCAGTCTCTTACCTGTGGAACTGTGCCTGTAGTTCCTGTCGTGTCAGAGTTTTGGTTAGATTTGAGTGTTTAATGTGATATCTGGCCCACAGGTATTTTCATTACACTGCCTCACATCTGTTAGGATTTGAAGGTTGTTATTAATTTTTTTTTGAGTCCTCAGAGACAGAGGTAGTCCCTTCTCAGTAGAGCTTCACATCTCTGCATAAATAGGAACAATAATAGTACCTCCCTCAATAGGCTGTTGGGTTAAAAATGAAGCAGAGATGTGAAATCCTTACACTAGTGTTCTGCAGTTTACACTCAGTCATACTCCTTACCATTACTGTTATCACTAAGTTTCATGTGGCTGTAGGTATGGGGGAAGCAGTCAGAATGTCCACGGCACTGTCTGCATTTATAGACCAGTAAAACAAATGCAATACATAATGTCACAATGTAGAAAATGGGATTAGGAGGATTATAATCAAAACAAAGTAGGAATTTATAGGTTGGCATTCCATTATTGGGCCCTTTTCCTGTGCGTGTGCATGTGTGTGTGTGTGTGTGTGTGTGTGTGTGTGTGTGTGTGTGTGTGTGTATGTATGTATGTGCCTTCCATGGTGCATGTGTGAAAGTAAGGGGACAAGCCACGGTAGTCAGTTCTCCCTCCTACCA